TCTGCTCTCTCCCAGTGATTTCTGAATATTTCGGAAATATTAGTTTAGAATGAAAATGGAAGCTTTATAATTTTTTTTTATTTGAAGTTGGCAAATCAAAAATAACATCCATATTTAATATGGTTAAATTAGTTAAGTAAATTCATGGGCAAAGTTCTTTATTTTATTTGTGGCTCTCTTATTTTTCTGGCAGTTCCAGTTAAATGACTCCAGATAGAAGTTTAAATAAACCACATGGACTTTATGGGTGTAAATAATAATGGTTTTGTATCGATGCATCGATCCAACAGCCAACGATCCGATGCATCGATACGTCCCAAGATAATCGATTCATGTTTTTTTTCCCTTCCGGTCTATTTTTATCCATTTGCTCCTGGGCGTAATTCTCCCTCCTGTGCTGCGGTGGCGCTAAACCTATTTTGCCCTCCTACCTCGCATCCTGGTTATACTCTTACAGCAGTTTGTTGCAGTGAGCTTGATGCAGACATTTTTAAATTATGCTCAATATTGAAGCGTGGTCTGCGCTACACGCTGTGGGTCTAGATACGGCCGAGGCGGCGAGGAAGTGGGGGCGAGTTTAATCCGACGACGGAGGGACATGAGGGCCAAAAATAGCGGAGATCCAGGTGGAAAAAGGGTCCCAGCGTTCTCGCGCACCTCGCTCTTCTAGCGTGTCAAACTTCACGAGTTGTTTTCCGCAATTTCGGTCATAAAAACGAATCGAATCGTGGTGTATTCTTGAGTAGCGAAAATAATTGAATCGTTGGGTCAGGAAATCGATACTGAATCGAATCGCCATGATGAGTGTCATTTACACCCCTAATGGACTTAGTCTCATACCAAATATTCAACCCTATACAGATTAATCACATTATTTGCTAGTGGAAAAAAAAAAAAATGGCTGAACAATTTAACTTTTGGCTATTAAGTGTCAGATTATGTGGAGTTTAAGGTGGTTTCTTGCAGATTTAATACCAAATGCTGAGAACAGAAGCTTAAATCCAGAAATAATTCATCACTGAACACAGGAACCAGAACAAAGGAGAACACAGAGGTCAAGGAGGGAATGAATGAATGTAGAGGATCCAGCTCTGAGTAGCTGCAGAGGAGGAGTATAAATGCCAACCAGAACCAAGAATGGAGAAATCAACTGATTGGGAGCAGGTGTGGACAGAAAGATCTAGAAGGGAGCTCAGGGAAAGGAGACTGATACAAGGGGGCAACAGAGAGTAAACAAGAAATACATAAGAAATAAAACACAACCAGAATGACACACAATTAAACACATAAGCCAGAAAATACAGAATGACATGAATCAATCAATCAAACTTAAAATAAAGCTTAAACAGAACCAGGACACTAAGTCAGGTGTTTTTTAACTAAGTCTCATTTTACTGCTTGCTGATGTTGCTCCGCAAATACGACTTAGTTTAACATGTTAGTTAACTTCTGTTTAATCTGTTATAAAAGTGAAAGTTTTATCTCATATTTTATTCATTACAAGAAGACTGAAATATTTTAAATGTTTATTTCTTTTAATTTAGTTTATTATAAGCATGCCCGTCACCAGGATGATCGAGGAAGGCTCCCCAGAAGCAGCCCCTCCAGCTTATGGCAATAAATATTCTTTTTGTTTTATGTTAAAAAGGTTTAAAGAGAAATACTACACAAAAGATTTCCATTTAAGATATATAAAATCTTTTTCCATTGTTATTTTCTTCCAGTTCAACATTGCAGTAGTGCCTCCACCTCAGCTTAAAAAAGCCGCTGATGCAGCTTCTTAAAGTTTAGGTGAAGCTGCTCCAGTTAAAAAAGACTCGCTGTGCTGCAGTAGCCTGGTGAGACCATCCTGATCTCGCGAGCTTTCAAGGTTTCACTCGCAGATCAGTCTGGAGACTCTCCGTTAAAGAA